GGGGCAAAGGAACTGTTTTCTTGTGAAACACTGTCAGGGACAGAGGTACTATCTGTCCAGTCTATTGTCACTGGACTTTCTGGTGCAGCATTATGAGGGATGGAGACGCTATTTAGCAAAACACCATGTGGGACAGAGGTGTTATCTGTCTAGCCTGTCACCACTGGCCCTGCCCTGTAAGCATTTTTCAGTAAACCTTCTGTCTCACACTCCACCTCCAGGTGTTTTCTTTGATCCCTTAGCACCCCAGCCACAGCACAACTGAGCTACCGAGAGCACAAAGGGAGACCCAGAAAGAGAAGACAACAGAAACTGTGGGATCCCATGGGGCTGCTGCATGCCCCCTTGCTTGGGGCCAGAGCCATATCTGTACCCTTCAGTCTTGAGGCCACAAGGTTTATTTAATCAAAACTTTTTTTTAAATTAATTTTTATTGTTGGTTGTTCAAAACATTACATAGTTCTTGATATATCATATTTCACACTTTGATTCAAGTGGGTTATGAACTCCCATTTTTACCCTGTATACAGATTGCAGAATCACATCAGTTACACTTCCATTGATTTACATATTGCCATACTAGTGTCTGTTGTATTCTGCTGCCTTTCCTATCCTCTACTATCCCCCCTCCCCTCCCCTCCCCTCCCCTCTTCTCTCTCTACCCCCTCTACTGTCATTCATTTCTCCCCCTTGTATTATTTTTCCCTTTCCCCTCACTTCCTCTTGTATGTACTTTTGTATAACCCTGAGGGTCTCCTTCCATTTCCATGCAATTTCCCTTCTCTCTCCCTTTCCCTCCCACCTCTCATCCCTGTTTAATGTTAATCTTCTTCTCATGCTCTTCCTCCCTACTCTGTTCTTAGTTACTCTCCTTATAAAACCTTTGAATTAGATGTACTTGTTTGTGTTCCTCCTTGAAACTGTCAGTGCTCTAAGATACGCAGAGACCTGGACCTGTTCAGAGATACTGGCTCTGTTAAAAGTCACAGGCTCCGGCTGAAAGGTGGAATGGAAAATAGGAGGTCATCAAACAGGAGTGGCTTTGAAACTTTAGGGTGCATCAGAACAACCTGGAGGCTTTTTAGAAACTATACATTGTTGGGGCACACTCCCTGAAGTCTGGAAGGGAACTTAGAACTTGCTTTTCTAGTATATTCCTTAGGGGATGGGCATGCTGCTGTCCGGACACTACTTTTTGAGAACTACCATCATTCTGTGGCATTGAAGCTGCTGGTTGAATTGTGACCTGTCATATTTTGGTGCTGAGGCCCTGTGCCAAATACCAAGGCTGCAGCATTAAGGAATTTTTTAGGGAAGATTCTAAATTTTGGAATTTAATAGCTACTTCTTACATTCACAAATAAGGTTCTTTAAGCTAGAGTTTAGATTACTTTGAAACGGGCTCATCTGAAATCAGAAAAGGAAAATAATTCAGCTTTTCTGACACCGGCCTTTACAATCTGTTGACTGAGAACCCAGTAACCTGGCATCTTGCAGGGCTCTACATACAGAATTTTCTAGTCTAAGATAAAGTTTCTCTGAGCAGACCCAAGGAGGTGAGAGACGTAGGGGATACACCTGGGGTCCAACTGCAGACCTGACTCACTTCTCACCCTTTTCTGTGGAATAATTCTCTTCCTTACTTAAAATAGACAATTAACTCTTGATAAAGGTACAAGAAGGATGTAACTTTGGGCTTCAGGTCAAATATTCATCACCTCCATATACAGTCCCACACTCCATATGGGGAAGAGTGAGATGTGGCTCTACAGGGCTCAGGATGGAGCTCCAAAGCTCTCCCCAGGGGCTGGGAGATAGTGGCGACTACAGGACTGGGCTCTGTGCTAGAACATGCACATTCCCAATCCGGGCTAAAATGCCAGACCTATGACTGGACTACCCCTCTGCTTGCAGTTACCTAGCTCATGGATGGATCAGAAGCAAATACAGTAGAAGCCTATTATCACTGAAAGGAAATCACATTGCCAAACAAACCACTAGTCCAGCCCCAAACAGTCATTGATTGCTCAACAACTAAGGAAAACCCCAGGCTCCTAATCACCCACCCCCCACAGGAAGTAAACAGCCCCCAGGAAGCAGGTTCCCCCTCAATGCACATCTCTGATGTCTCCATGGGGGACATTCCCCCAGGGAGGAGAGCTTCCAAGGTGCCTGTGCAGCTGACCAGGGATCTCAGTCGAGTCGACTCTGAAAGTCTGAGGAACTGGTTCCCTCCCTGTGCAGTTCCCTGCTCCTTTTGCCCTATCCGGGGTCTTCATTCTGTATACTCTGTACACAACACCTGACTTTAGGGAATGTTGGACACTGCTAAACTTCTCATGCAGTCATGAGTTTCTGGACCTTGAGAAATAGTTCAGTGCATTCAGAGATTTTGTATGACTCTATTTTTTTTTTCTGAAAGAAGGTGACACCTTCACTGTGTCCATGGGAACAAATGCTATACCTCCTGTTCTGCTGACAGCAACTCCACACTTACCAGGAGTGCAGATGATAATGGTGTAGGAGAGTGGACCCCTCATAATGGAAGGGGACTGTGAAATGTGTGTGTGTGTGTGAGAGAGAGAGAGAGAGAGAGAAGAGAAACGAAAGCCTCCATCATAAGACAGTGCTTTTGTCCTCATTCTCATTATATAAAAGCCATCATGGCATCAAATCTCCATAAGCCAGGTGAGCTCTGTCCTCTTGGTGTCAACTCAGGATTCCAACCAGAGAGTGGGTGGCTCCAACAGAGGGACTAGCACACATCAGATGGGAGGATAAGGTGAGACCAGAGAGATAAGCAATCCAACTTATTGAAAAATAAATAAAAATTTAGAAAAAATGTACTCTAAGCAATTATAGTTAGCTATTTGATGTGCATCTTATCCAAATATTTACATATATATATATATATATATATATATATATGAATTTTTAAGATAAAAGCAAAAATAACATGTATAGTTCTGTTTCATATACGTAGAGTGTATATGCATACGGTAGATGTAAGTGGGTACACCTTTTATACTTAATATGATGGACACACTGCATAGACAGAGGTGTGTGCAGAATTGATAGCAGAATATTCCATGGATGGGCATCTTAATTCCCTTCTTTTTTAATCCCCTACTGATGTTTCCTTTTTTTTTTTTTAAAAAAAACTAGCCATGATGCAAAAAAAAAAAAAAAAAATATATCCTTGTGTCTACCTATTCCTATTCTTTGGCAGTGTTTCTATAAAATAGATTCCTGAAAATGGAATCAGGAAAAACAGCAGTTTTTGTTTGTTTTTTTGTTTGTTGGTTTCTTTCTTTGTAGTGCTGGGGATTGAACCCAAGGCCTCAGTCATGCTAGGCAAGAGCTCTACCACAGAGCTGCATTCCCAACCCTAGTATGTATGTTTTAATATTTGCTAAGTAGTAGTGTTTTATTAAACCTCAAAGTGTTTGATTACTATGATTCTAAATAATTTTTGTTATACCAGGGACTGAACTCAGAGGCACTCTGTCACTGAGCCACATCACTAGCCCTATTTTGTGTTTTATTTAGAGACAGGGTCTCACTGAATTCCTTAGTGCTTCGCCATTGCTGAGTCTGGCTTTGAACTTGTGATCCTCCTGCCTCAGCTTCCTAAGACGCTGGAATTGCAGGCGTGTGCCACCATGCCAGGCTTCTAAACAATTTTGGATAAAAAAATCAGATTATTTGGGAGATGAAATAATTGTGGCTAATAAAAATTAATACAGGTTTGATTTCTACACATCTTTTGAATGTCCCCTTCTTCTGAAGAAAGGACCCTAGCTCAGTGTATATTTCTTGTACTTATAACTGCAACCCAAGCAATCCACCTGTTAAATAACTTACCTTTCATAGCAAACCTATAAACAGAGTTCTGGCTCAGACTCCCAAGATGCTGGAATTACAGGCATGTGTTACCAAGCCTGGCTTCTAAACAATTTTAGATTCAAAAATCAGATTATTTTGAAAATGAAATAATTGTGACTTATAAAAATTAATATATATTTGATTTTTACACATCTTTTGAATTTCCCCTTCTGAAAAAACGACCCTAGCTCAGTGTATATTTCTTGTACTTATAACTGTAACCAAAGTAATTCATCTGTTAAATAACTTACCTTTTATAGCAAACCTATAAACATAGTTCTTCTCCACATAGAGCCTGATTTCCATCTCTCCCCTAACAACATTAGCCATTTATTTTGTGGAGTATGGTTTTTAGAGAAATAATATATGGTATACCTATTACCCCCATGCAATTATACACCACATTTGGGAAGGAGTGGTGAATCCTACTACCTAAGTCAGTTTTCTTAGCCACTAACCTGCATGCAGCACTCCTGGTAAACTTGATGAAAACATCAGTTCTCAGGTTCCATCCAGAGCATTCTGGTGGGAGTAGCTTTTGAACTTTTGCATGTGATGTGAGTATAGGTAGATCACACCTGGGGAAATCACTTGGGCAGTGTTTAATAGCACACAGTATGTAGTTAAATGAAGGTCTAGTTTGGGAACTCAGTTGTGCCATCTACATGCAGTGTGATCTTGGAAAAGTTGCTTACCCTTCTCGAGCCCAGATTTACTTTTCTGTCAAATGGGCATGTTAATAGTACTATGTAAGCTATATTATTGCATTAGTAGGATTGAATGAATGATATATATATATATATATATATATATATATATATATATATATATATATATCTCACATAGATTTGAATAAGCCTCAAAAACATTAGCAATTTCTTATTAACACAGCTTTATCATAAGTAATCACTACAGAATACTCTGCCTAATGGTAACTGAAGGATATGGAAATGACAACCCTCAAAACAGTGTGGACTGACAGGAGGGAGGGAGGAGGAAGCCATCACATTGATGACATTGATCCTTTCCCAATACATCCTTTCCCAGTGACAAGAAAATCCCTGGGAAGGAGATATCCCCCCCAAGCCTAAAATGACAGTCTCTGGGAAGAATCCAAAACATTGATCCTTCCCCAAATAGATCTTTTCTCAGTGACAGTAAAATAGATCCTGGAGGGAAAGAGATAAGTGCTGAACTCTGGACCCTCCATCCTTGCCTTAGTAAATACGAATTTCAAATTCTCATAACCTGTTTCCTGAATGTCCAAACTGATAGGTTCTGATAAAGTCTTCAATGGTTAACTCATCTCCCAGTGTATAACCTATATAAACCCATACCTCCCCTGTGATGAGGGCCATTTTCCATCCAGGGAGTGAGTCCTCTGATGCCTGACTCTTCTACTAACTAAAAGGCATAGCTGGTCCATGAAGTTGGCTCCCATACAGGTTATTTGTACTTTCACTTTGGTGCTAAAAATCATTTTGGTTGATTTTGTTTATGGTATCCATTCAAGAAGGGAATTTTCCTAGAGCAGGTACATTAAGAATCACAAAATGTTTGTAGCTTGGAATATTCCAGAACTGCACCTCCGGTGTAGAGTGGAGTAACTGCAGTAGCCCTGTTCTTCTCCCCCCAAGTCCTTCCATGTCACACCTTCCTATTATTTGCCCTTATTCCTCTTAACCAGTAATTCTGATTTTTCTGGACAAACAAAAGCAAACTCCATACCAGTTTTCTTTTAAAACGTGCATCTTTATTATTTCACCAGGCTGGACACAGCTCAGAGCCAAGGAGCCACTGTGTGTCGGTCAGTGCAAAAGGACCCACTCCATATCTGCCAGTTTGGTGGCTTGGATACCATGTCTTCCTAGAACAAGCCCATGACAGCCACTCGATTGTCACCAAACAGTGTGAGCAAAGCTGGAGGGGATGAGTGGCAAAGAATTTGTCTTGGGATCTTTTGGAACAAACAGTCAGAAAATGAAACGAATATAAAAATAAATTATAAAACTAAAATAATATAAATAAATAAAATCTAAGTTCAGAGTGAGGCTGTTCAGAAACAACCAGCCATAGGAGAGGTAGCTATGGAGTCACAGGGATGCTTCCAAGACTCAGGCCCCTGCTCCCCACAGGGCCCACGGAGGTCACTGGGTTCCTTGCTGCCTCCAGGCCATTCAGGCATTCAGCTCCAGGTCAGTGACGTATTCCTGGACCCAGTTCTCATTGGGGTCAGCACATACCTGCCGGCCTCTCTTGGTTAGGAAGCTGTGGGGAGAAGCAGAGGATCAAACACTGAGGAATCCTACAGGGGATCTGGGGCCCACGGTGGTCCCTCCATCCCACCCCCTGCCCTGGGCAGCTCAGAGAGGCTCTGCTTATGTTACTCCAGGGAGTCTCTCTCACCAACTCAGGAGTGTCTCAGGGTACCCTGCCACCTCGTTCTTCTGTCCCTCCTCTCTGAGTTGGGGGTCCCACCTTCCCGACCAAGTCAGGTCACATTTAAGAGCTGAAGCCTATATACATGGCCTGTCTAGGGTTGCTCTCCTGGCCTGTCTCTGCCAGTGTGTGGCTGTCCTCAAGGGTGGGCAGGGGAAGTGGCACTTACATGACACCTGGCTGGGAGCACTGGCTGCTGGTCTCAAAGTAGTCCGCTATGAATTTGCGTTGAATCTGCCGGGCCACGTAGGAGAAGCAGCAGGCCGTTGGGGTGTCTGCACCCACTGTGGAGAAAGGGACAGAATGAGTCCAGGTCATCATCCAAAAGGAAAGGCCACCAGCTGTCACAACCTCAGGCTGAAGAAGAGCCCTGAACAGAGTGGGGACTGGAGACCGGCCTCGGGAAGGCATTTGGGCATTTCTGCCTAGAAACCTCATGTCTCTGTCTTCCTACTGTCTCTGTTCTCCTTGCTTCCTCACTCTTTACTGCGGGCTCTCTTTGTCTGTGTGATTCAGACCAAACAGACTATTCTCCTCTCTTCCTTCAGGGAATTTTGATTGGTTCAAGATGTCACACCCAGCAAAAAGAGAGGTCTGGGACATCTATCTCAAGATCCAGTGGGCAGAGCTCCTGGGAGCCCCGGAGTGAGCTGGGGAATCGACCACATCACTGGGAAGGAAGTACCCAGGTCTGGATTCTGCCTCTTGCAAACTCAGAGGTTTAGGCTCCATTATTTTCCCCTATCTATAGAAAGAAGGAACTCCTGCCCCAACCCTGACTCTCAGGACTGGGGACTAGGAGAGCTAAGATCCCTTGTAAAGGTGAAAAGTCCTTAAGAGAAAGCTCAAGGTGCTTTGTAGCCCTTTAAGAAGTTTTCTCTTTTCTCCTGGGTTCTGGAGACCACAAGAAGAGATTGATGTGGTCTCCCCAGGGCCAGAGAGTGGGGACGTCTGCCACAATAGGGTGGACTCACATGGTGCAGAGAAGACCTGGTCGCAGAGAGACATGGTGCAGAGGAGGACAGCAAGAGCAGCCGTGGAGACCTGCATGATGTTCAGTGGATGACAGTGTGTGGTCTCAAGTATGAGCAGATCCAAGAAGGGCCTGGGTCCTCCCTGCTGCCTGTGTCCTTCTGGCATTAGAAGCCATCTGCCCTTCTCTTTATAGGCAGCCCTGGCGGGTGGGGAAGTGGAATCTGGGGGTGCATGGGGAAATTTTTAAGTATAGCAATATTGTCATGATGTTACACAACTTAGGGTCCTTGGTGACCACAGGAACTCAGGATATCTAAGAATAGCATCTCTGAGCGGTAGGTCTCAGCTCTAGACTCATGACTTGCTCTGTTTTTTGGGGGGGAAATGGTTTCCCTGTGAGAGGGAGGAGACTTGTGTGCGTCTACTCAGAGTTGCTATTAGCTGGTCCCTTCTCATAAGAACTTATTTATGGATGACCTCTCCAGTGCTGTTCCTTTCTACAGAACTGAAACTCAGTGCTTTCTCAGTCTCCGTAACCATTGAGGTTGACAGGTGGATGGCAGCAACACCACACCCCCCAAATCCTGGTACTGAATTAAGGAATCCCAGGCTAGAGAAATGGAAAGTTTGATGTCACGTTTCATTTGTCCATTCATTGAACAGTCATAGAATGACTAGGGGACTCTGTCACAAACTCTAGTTGTGAATTAAGAAGTTCCTTTAGGTGTGGGTGTGTCAGAAGCCTAAAAATATTTATGCCCACTAACCAAGAAAAAGTGTTTCTAGGAAAGAGTTCTACATAAACAAGCCAGATATGGAGGTATCTTCAAACAAAAAAGACCCAGCATCATTTCTTTTTTTTGTTTGTTTGTTTTTGTTTTTATTCTTTTATGTTTTAATTTTGGGAAGGTATGTTCCCAGAATTTTTTTTTTCATTTCCCAGCATCATTTATAATTTTACTCTAGAAACTACAGTTAACTATTTGATGTCCATCTTTTTGAATATTTACCTATATAAATATATATGTATATAAGAATTTTTAGGATTAAAAACAAAAATAACATGTACAGTTGTATATCATATACGTAGAGTGTATATGCATACAGTAGATGTAAGTGGGTACACCTTTTACACTTAATATGATAAACACACTGCATAGACAGAGGTGTGTACAGAATTCGCAGCAGAATATTCCATGGATGGGCATCTTAATTCCCTTTTTTTTTAACCCCTACTGATGTTTTCCTTTTTTTTTTAACTAGCCATATTTTTTTTTAAAAAAATCCATGTGTCTACATATTCGTATTCTTTGGCAGTGTTTCTATAAAATAGATTCCTGAAAATGGAATCAGGTCAAACAGCAGTTTTTGTTTGTTTTTTTATTTGTTGGTTTGTTTCTTTGTAGTACTGGGGATTGACACCAAGGCCTCAGTCATGCTAGGCAAGAGCTCTACCACAGAGCTGCATCCCCAACCCTAGTATGTGTGGTTTAGTATTTGCTAAATATAGTGTTTAAATAAACCTCAAGGTGTTTGATTACTACGATTCTACACATTTTTTTTTTATACCAGGGATTGAGTTCAGGGGCACTGTGTCACTGAGCCATATCCCCAGCCCTATTTTCATTTTATTTAGAATAATAATAGACAGGGTCTCACTGAGTTGCTTAGTGCCTTGCCATTGCTGAGTCTGGCTTTGAACTTGTGATCAACCTGCCTCAGATTCCTAAGACGCTGCTATTACAGGCGTGTGCCACCATGCCAGGCTTCTAAACAATTTTGGATAAAAAAATCAGTTTATTTGGAAGATGAAATAATTGTGGCTCATAAAAATTAATACATGTTTGATTTCTACACATGTTTTGAATGTCCCCTTCTTCTGAAGAAAGGACCCAGCTCAGTGTATATTTCTTGTACTTATAACTGCAACCCAAGTAATCTACCTGTTAAATAACTTACCTTTCATAGCAAACCTACAAATATAGTTCTGCTCCACATAGAGCCTGATTTCCACACCTACTCCCCACCAACATTAGCCATTTATTTTGTAAAGTATGGTTTTTAGAGAAATAATGTATGGTACACCTATTACCCCACGCAGATATACACCACATTTGGAAGGAGTGCTGAATCCTGTTACCTAAGTCAGTGTTCTTAGCCACTAACCTGCAAACAGCACTCCTGGTAAACATGATGAAAACATCAGTTCTCAGGTTCCATCCAGAGCATTCTGGTGGGAGTGGCTTTTGAACTGTTGCTTTTGATTTGAGTATAGGTAGATCACACCTGGGGAAATCACTTGGCCAGTGTTTAATAGCACATAGTGTGTAGTTAAATGAAGGTCTAGTTTGGGAACTCAGTTGTGCCATCTACATGCAGTGTGATCTTGGACAAGTTGCTTACTATTCTTGAGCCCAGATTTACTTTTCTGTCAAATGTGTATGTAATAGTACTATGTAAGCTATATTATTGCATTAGTAGGATTGAATGAATGATATATATATATATATATATATATATATATATATATCACATAGATTTGAGTAACACACAGCTTTATTTATCATAAGTAAACTCTACAGAATACTCTGCCTAATGGTATCTGAAGGATATGGAAATGACAACCCTCAAAACAGTGTGGCCTGACAGGAGAGAGGGACGAGGAAGCCATCACATTGATACATTGATCCTTTCCCAATACATCCTTTCCCAGTGACAAGACAATCCCTGAGAAGGAGATCTCCCCCAAGCCTAAATTGACAGTCTCTGGGAAGAATCCAAAACATTGATCCTTCCCCAAATAGATCTTTTCCCATTGACAATGCAATAGATCCTGGAGGGAAAGAGATAAGTGCTGAATGCTGAACTCTGGACCCTCCATCCTTGCCCAGTAAATACAAATTTCAAATTCTCATAACCTGTTTCCTGAATGTCCAAACTGATATGTTCTGATAAATCTTCAATGGTTAAGTTATCTCCCAGTGTGTAACCTAGAAACCCGTACCTCGACTTAAACATAAGAATCATATGATCATCTCAATAGATGCAGACAAGAGTTTGACAAAAACAGCACCTCTTTATGTTCAAAACACTAGAAAAACTAGGGATAACAGGAACATATCTCAATGTCGTAAAGGCGATCTACCTATGCTAAGCCTCACGCTAACATTGTAAATGGAGAATAATTGAAGGCATTCCCTCTAAAAACTGGAACAAGACAGGGATGCCCTCTTTTATCACTTCTGTTCAACCTAGTTCTTGAAACACTGGCCAGAAAAATTAGACAGACGAAAGAAATCAAAGAGTTATGTATAGGAAAAAAAAAAAGAACTTAAATTAGCCCTATTTGCTGACCATATGATTCTATACTAGAAGACCAAAAAAACTCCACCAGAAAACTTCTAGAACTAGTAAATGAATTCAGCAAAGTAGCAGGATATAAAATCAACACCCATAAATCAAAGGCATTTCTGTATATCAGTGGCAAAGCCTCTGAGAAGGAAATGAAGAAAACTACCCCATTCACAATAACCTCAAAAAAGAAATACAATATTTGGGTATCAACTTAATCAAAGAAGTGAAAGATCTATACAATGAAAACTGTAGAACCCTAAAGAGAGAAATCAAGGAAGACCTTAGAAGATGGAAAAATCTACCTTGCTCTTGGATAGGCAGAATTAATATTATCAAAATGACCATACTACCAAAAGCACTATACAGATTTTAATGCAACTCCGATCAAAATCCCAATGGCATTCCTCATAAAAATAGAGAAAGCAATCATGGAATTCATCTGGAAGAATAAGAGACCCAGAATAGCCAAAGCAATCCTCAGCAGGAAGAGTGAAGCAGGTGGCATCGCTATACCAGAACTTAAACTGTATTACAGAGCAATAGTAACAAAAACAGCATGGTACTGGCACCAAAACAGACTGGTTGACCAGTGGTACATATAGAGGACAAAAAAACTAATGCACAAAATCACAATTATCTTATATTAGACAAAGATGCCAAAAACATGCACGGGAGAATAGATAGCATCTTCAACAAATGGTGCTGGGAAAACTGGAAATCCATATGCAAGAAAATGAAACTAAACCCCTATTTCTCACCATGCAAAAAACTTAACTCAAAATGAATCAAGGACCTAGAAATTAAACCAGAGACTCTGTGTCTAATAGAAGAAAAAGTAGGCCCTAATCTTCATCATGTGGGATTAGGCCCCAACTTCCTTAATAAGACTCCTATAGCACAAGAATTAAAACCAAGAATCAATAAATGGGATGGAATCAAACTAAAAAGTTTCTTCTCAGCAAAAGAAACAATCTGTGAGGTGAACAGGGAGCGTACTTCTTGGGATCAAATCTTTACCCCTCACACATCAGAGAGAGCATTAATCTCTAAGGTATATAAAGAACTCAAAAAGCTAAGCACCGAAAAAACAAATAACCCAATCAACAAATGGGCCAAGGACCTGAACAGACACTTCTCAGAAGAGGATATACAATGAATCAACAAATAAATGAAAAAAATACTCGTCATCTCTAGCAATCAGAGAAATGCAAATCAAAACTACTCTAAGATATCATCTCACTGCAGTCAGAATGGCAGCTATTATGAAGACAAACAACAATAAGTGTTGGCCAGGATGTGGGGAAAAAGGTACACTTATACATCGCTGGTGGGACTGCAAATTGGTGCAGCCAATATGGAAAGATTCCTTGGAAATCTGGGAATGGAACCACCATTTGACCCAGCTATCCCTCTCCTTGAACTATACCCAAAGGACTTAAAAATAGCATACTATAGGGACACAACCACATCAATGTTTAGAGCAGCCCAATTCACAATAGCTAAACTGTGAAGCCAACCTAGATGCCCTTCAGTGGATGAAAGGATTAAAAAATGTGGTATATATACACAATGGAATTTTACTCAGCACCAAAAGAGAATAAAATCATGGCATTTGCAGGTAAATGGATGGCATTGGAGAAGATAATGCTAAGTGAAGTAAGCCAATCCCCAAAAAAACAAATGCCGAATATTTTCTGTGATTTAAGGAGGCTGACCCATAGTGGGGTAGGGAGGGGAAACATGGGAGGAATAGATGAATTCTAGATAGGGAAGAGGGGAGGGAGGGAAAGGGAGGGGGCAGGGGATTAGCAAGGATGGTGGAATGTGAAGGACATCTTTATCCAAAG